TCATCGATGTGCAGTTGCCCAGCACTGATCCCCAAAATTGAACATCAAGTTTGAAGCTAGCAAAACGTTATCCGTTTTTTATTTCCTTTAAATAAAGAGTGACATTTGAATGATGACATAAAGCTTCATGTTGACGAGTTACTTCAAGCCCGAAAAGAGCTTTCGTGCGATATAAACAAATAACTGCCAGGTTTGAATGAAAATATGAAAACATGTTTTTACGACTGATCCATTGAATTTGCTCAGAATTTTCGCTTCCAGGAAACGTTCGTTATCACCACTTGGTAAGCGAATGGCTCATATTTTTAATCGACAAAAATCCATTCCTCGAGCGTACATTTGAGTAAGGTTGTATGCATACAGGGACCTAGAAAGTTTGTATCTCGTGCGTATATTAAAGACGTCCGACAGGTTATCGAAAGTAGTATACAGAATATTTGATCGAATCCAATCCAGTTTCGTCTGTCCAGCCTACTCGATTACTTAAGACATGGAGTCCCGAAACTGCACGGCATCCTTTCAACTTTTTATATCACTTTGATTCGAGAAAGCCATTTTATTTCAAATCATAGTCACCTCAGTCATTTTACTACCGTTCTCTATATTGATTATTTACCCATTCAATCTACCCATAATCTCATAGACATTTTCCTCATTCGAACCCTTATTCGCACTTCGCTCTATCGCATCAGAAGCCCTACGTTTCTAACCCTCTTGCTACAGCAGTGTTCTATCAAACGGCTAATGCGCTACATAGGCATACCAGACTACTGTAACTTCTGTGGCTACGTACAACAGGTTTCCTTAGTGTTTCGTAGAATTTTATTTATTTAAAATACGTGTGTTAGTTTTGTATATATCATAGGTAGCTTTGTGGGAACTGTAGGGTCACCCTTAGCACACATCTTAGAGGACTATGGCTATACTTGGCACATGTTGGCTGAGGGACTATTGATAGCTGGAGGACTCTATTATGGGGGACTATGAGAACTGTGCAGTCACTGAGTAGTGATTAAGGTCAGAGAATGGATGAGTAGTGGGTGACTATAGGTACCTTCAGTATAGAGCAAGCACAGGGTAAGGGGTGACTATAATTACCTATGGGACACAGTGAGTGCTCAGTGATGGGTGACTATAGTTATCCTTAGCATACAGAGTACTTGGTAATGATGGGTGACTATAGTTATCTTTAGTACATAGCAAATAAAAGGTAATGGGTGACTATAACTACCACTGGAACGCAGTGAGTGCTAAGGAATGGGTGACTATAGTTATCCTTAGCATACAGAGACTACTCAGTAATAGGTGACTATAGCTACCTTCAGTACATGGCAAGTATAAAGTAATGGGTGACTATAACTACCCTTAGGACACAGTGAGTGCTGAGGAATGGGTGACTATAGTCATCCTTAGCATACAGAGAGTACTTGGTAATGGGTGACTATAGCCACCTCCAGTACATGGCAAGTACAAGGTAATGGGTGACTATAACTACCCTGAGGAATGCAGTGAGTGCTCAGTAATGGGTGACTATAGTTATCCTTAGCATACAGAGTACTTGGTAATGATGGGTGACTATAGTTATCTTTAGTACATAGCAAATACAAGGTAATGGGTGACTATAACTACCATTGGGACGCAGTGAGTGCTCAGTAATGGGTGACTATAGTTATCCTTAGCATACAGAGTACTTGGTAATGATGGGTGACTATAGTTATCTTTAGTACATAGCAAGTATAAAGTAATGGGTGACTATAACTACCCTTAGGACACAGTGAGTGCTCAGTAATGGGTGACTATAGTTATCCTTAGCATACAGAGAGTACTCAGTAATGGGTGACTATAGCTACCTTCAGTACATGGCAAGTATAAAGTAATGGGTGACTATAACTACCCTTAGGACACAGTGAGTGCTCAGTAATGGGTGACTATAGTTATCCTTAGCATACAGAGTACTTGGTAATGATGGGTGACTATAGTTATCTTTAGTACATAGCAAGTATAAAGTAATGGGTGACTATAACTACCCTTAGGACACAGTGAGTGCTCAGTAATGGGTGACTATAGTTACTCCTGACATAAAGAGAGTACTTAATAATGGGTGACTATAATTACCCTTAGGACTCAGTGAGTGCTCAGTGTGGATGACTATAGTTACCCCTAGCATACACAGAGTACTTGGCAATGGATAACTATAACTACCCTTAGAACACAATGAGCCCTCAGTAAACATTGACTATAATTACCCACAGTACTCAGTGAGTGCTCAGACCATCAGCAAACGCCCACAGACAACTACAGTCCTCAGCAAATACTAACTAATAGCCATAGTCCCTTAGTCCATACTTAGCGTGACTATAGTTACCCAGCGACAAATCTTATCCCCACACAATGACCAATACTGTATACAGTAACCAAACAACGAATGTGTTAAATACTTATTTCTTCCTGTCCACCTAGAAAAAGTGTCGTCATTCCATGTTCATTCACGTGGATGCACGTGCAGTTTCGAAGACAAGGCCATCATGTCAGTATGTCCGCTTGTCTGCCTGGCTTGCATGCTTGGTCGGCGTACAAAATGGCTACTCGCAGAGAAAAGAAGCGTGTACGGTGAGTGCGTGCGTGACGGTTAGACCTTAAGTCCTCTTCTAGTTGCCAATACATACACATACACACATGCGGGTGGTTTGTACATAAGGAGTAAAAACAATGGAGAGAAAAATCGAGGATCCTGTGGCGGAAGCAGGAGTAACGTTATCGGGTTACCTTCCCCTCCCTAATCATTCTCGAGGTGTATCACTAGTTTGTTACGTACTCTACGTGTGTACATATTTGTTATCGCAGTACACGTATTAAAATAGAGTGGCTGGCGTGTACAGCGTCGCCGCCCATTATGAACACTTTGTCAATTAATAAAACGATTGAATTTTACATACATCGTGTTTTCTTCTGGTTCTTTTCGACTCTTCTGTGTTCCCGTATTCCTATGTCCATGGGTGCAGAGTTTGGAGAGTTTCATTATTTTGAAACGGCGAAGAAAGGAAGATTTTGATGCCGTCATGAGGATAGAAATTGAACAGTTGTCATTTCCGATTCGTTATTAAGCGGCTAATTACCTGTACTCGTATCGTTAAACAAAATTTGAAGCGTTTATTTGTCCGACACAATCATTATCGGTGTTGCGCGAGAAACAGAACAGTGGTAATTGGAAATCTGGTCTTACGGAAACAACAGGAACGCTATTTGCTAAATTATTGCAATCTGCCCGCCAATTATATCGCCGAGTGTACAATTTGAATAATGACACGGCAGTTGATACTGAAATTAAATCTTTTACAGTTTTCCCGTATTAACAATTTCCGTAATTTCACCCTCGTGGAATATGCAAACGCGAATTAATCACGCGTGGTGATTCATCGAAACGCACTGTTAAGAAACAAAATTCAACGAGAACTTGAATCTCCAGGATCCTTTTTCAATCAGAGAATAAATTACTCGATGGAAATTTCTGATCAATATCCTTGGGAGAGACACAGAGTATATAGATTCGAACAGAAGGAGGGGGATGTTGAAAGAGAAACGTAATTTCACCAGCTTTATTACCTTCTTTCGTGTGTCAGCGAATACTACACGCCTTTACAATCGAAATAAATACAGATACTCCAGATTTAATTATGGGCTTCGCTGTTTGACCTGCACTTTCCCTCGCGTGTTATAACCCTCAACAAATTGAGACTCTGAACTAAACTATTGGTAAAATGTGCTGTACTAAAGTATCTGATAATATCTAAATACCTAAAATAATATCTAAACGCGTAATACCTAAAATAATTTCCAAACACGTGACACAAATATAAAAAATAATATCTAATTGCTAACATCAGAAACAATGTCTAAACACGTGACACTTAAAATAACCTCTAAATAAAAATATAAAAAATAATATCTAACATGTGACACTTAAAATAATTTCTAAACACGTGACACTTAAAATAATATCTAAACATGTGACACTTAAAATAATTTTTAAACAAGTGACACTTAAAATAATTTCTAAACATGTGACACAAAGTAATTTCTAAACATGTGACACCTAAAATAATATCTAAACATGTGACACATAAAATAATATCTAAACATGTGACACATCAAATAATTTCTAAACATGTGACACATCAAATAATTTCTAAACATGTGACACATCAAATAATATCTAAACATGTGACACTTAAAATAATATCTCAATAAAAATATAAAAAATAATATCTAATTGCTAACATCAGAAACAATGTCTAAACACGTGACACTTAAAATAACCTCTAAATAAAAATATAAAAAATAATATCTAAATGGTAACATCAGAAACAATGTCTAAACACGTAACACTTAAAATAACCTCTAAATAAAAATATAAAAAATGATATCTAAATAGTAACATGTACAATAATATTTAAATAAGTGGAACTTAAAATAACATCTATATAAAAATTTAAAAAATAATATCTGAATAGAAACATCAGAAATAATATCTAAACACGTCTCACCTAAACTAACATCTGAATAAAAATGTGAAAAATAATATCTAAGTGGTAAACTCAGAAATAATATCTAAACACGTGTCACCTAAACTAACATCTGAATAAAAATGTAAGAAATAATATCTAAGTGGTACAGTCAGAAATAATATCTAAGCGCGTGATACCTAAAATGATACCCAAAATAAAAATATAGAAAGTATCTAAATAATGTGAAAAGTCTACCACGTAAATGTTAATATGTAAAATAATATCTAAACGCATGATACCTAAAATAAAAATATAGAAAGTATCTAAATAATGTAAAAAGTCTACCACGTGACTGTAAATACATGAAATAATATCTAAATACGTGATACTAAAATAATGAAAATTATCTCCACGCGGATCCAAATACGTGAAATAATATCTAAATACGTGATAGTAAAATAATGAAAATTAGCATAAAATAAATTTCACCCTCCATCTAACAGATAACCAACGGCCACGTTCAGAGGGTTAAATTTTGAGAGTTCCCGTAATCTGCGCTCCCAAAATATCCAACTTCCAAACTAATTAGTACGTGATACAGCAAACAAAGCAGAGTATGCTACACTAAATTAATAGCAGGGTGTTTATACTAAACTAGCGCAAGAGTGTTTGTATTATATTAACACTAACAGCGATGAAATTTCATTCAACCTTTATTGTCATCGATATTCACGGACCACAAATCCGGTTCCTTCGGGATCAAACAAAGTCGTAGGATAATGATGCGAATTAAGGCTAGATTATATTAACTTCCGGTGGTGTCAAAGCTCGTGTTTCGGAATCATTTGCAGATTCGATCGACGTCGCTCTCGCGTCCTAGCCTCGGTGTGTACCCGTTCATCTGGCTATTTCGGAAACCTGAAATCAACGAACGCTGCAGAGGACAAAAACTCGGGGTATTGATTCGGATGCTGAAGATGAACCTAATGGTCAGACGAAATCAATGTGAATTCTTCACAATGACAAATTTAGATACATATTTGCATAATCACATATTTTATAACGTTAACATCAATAATTTGGTAGAAATCATAGTTAGGTTATAATCATGGTGGACTCATTTTAACAAGAATTAAATGAATTTCCCTGTCAAAAAAGAATGAAAGTTTGTGCAAACTTACGTATATCTCATGGTTACTTGTTCGAACATAATCAAACTTGTTCAAACATAATCAAACTTGTTCAAACATAATCAAACTTATTCGAACACAGTCAAACTTAGTCGAATTTACTCCATGTCACTATTTTTAGAAATTTAAAAAAGGAAGGGTGTGAATTGTTAGTCAAAGGGGGTGGTTTTTATTATATTAAAGTCATTAAAAGTTTTAATTAAAGGTGTCATTAATACTGTTGGGGTGGTATAGCAAGGTTTTATGCAGGTATGTTAAAGGTTTATCTTGAGAGACGATGTAGGGGTTGTAAGATACTTTGAGGTGCGTAACATGTTTTGCAGAAGATTTTATATTTAGACTGTAATGGTATCAGAGGATAGAAGTGTGGAGGTGGTAATGGAGAAAAATTTAAGTTTGCAAATTTATAGGGTGGGGAATCTGTAAATTTATAAATTTAGGCAGCTGCAAATTTCAAAGTTCAGAAATTCACAAATCTGCAAATTTGGAAATTTAGAAATGTTGAAATTTGATAGTGTGCAAATACATGAACTTTCAATTTTCCAAGCTTGGAAATTTAAAAATGGGAAAATTAGAAAATTGGAAAATTAGAAAATTGGAAAATTGGAAAATTGGAAAATTGGAAAATCTAAAAATCTACAAATCCACAAATTTACAAACCTAAAAATCTAAAAATCCACAAATTTACAAATTTACAAATTTACAAGACTACAAATCTAAAAATCTACAAATCTCCAAACCTTCAAATCCAAAAATCTACAAACCCAAAAACCTACAAACCCCCAAATCTACAAACCCATAAACCCACAAACATACAAACCTAAAAATCTAAAAATCTAAAAATCTCCAAACCTTCAAATCCAAAAATCTACAAACCCACAAATCTAAAAATCTAAAAATCTCCAAATCTTCAAATCCAAAAATCTACAAACCTACAAACCTACAAATCCCCAAATCTACAAACCTAAAAATCCACAAACCCAAAAACCCACAAACCCACAAATCTAAAAGTCCCCCAACTCCAACCCCAAAACTTCACCACCCTAACTCAAAAATATAAAAACTGTGAAGAAAAAAAAAGTAGCGATCGCATTGGTAGAATTCGGGAAAAGGCAGACAGAATATGGAAACGTCGGAAATAAATAAAGCATTAACAACGTTTTATTCGTTGGAAATTCATTCCGTGCGATTGTAACGTGTTACCCATGACCCCGCAAGTCAAATAAAGGAAGGGATGAAATACTATTGGTACGGGACGAAAAATTAAATTGGCATTTGAAACAGGGCATCAACAGAACATTGGCCGATACACGGTTCAGGGTTTTGATTCTCGGATCACGTATGGATGGGGATGGATTTTCGTGAATACCAAAAATGTTTCGCGATACGTGCGGTTTTTCGCTGGCTGAGTCGCGCAAGCTGCCAGCGTCAATAAACAATGGAATACAGATTATTTTCACCAAGGTAAAGTTCAACTTTCGTATTTTTCAATCTTTCTTTCTTATCTTAGAACGTGACTGTTAATTGCAACTCATTTATGAGCATTTTTCTAATTGTTTGAAATTTATGAAGTTTATTGAACATTTATATGTAGCAACTCATTCATGAATTTTTTTAAACATTTTTGTAATTTTTTGAAATTCATGAAGTTTATTGAACATTTACATATAGCAACTCATTCATGAATTTTTGAAGCATTTTACTAATTTTTTGAGATTAATGAATTTTATTGAACATTTTGAAATTGAAATATTTCAGACGTCTTAAAATTTTGGTAAAAGAATTTGGATTATTTTAAACGATTTTGGGAAAGGACAAAAGAATTCAATTTTAAGAACTTTAGCTCTTTTCTATAATAAAACTTGACATTCTAGTTAAATTAATTTAAGGAAATCATGAAGGTAAATCTCATCAGATCAAAGTAAATTAATTTCAGAAAATTATGAAGTTAAGTCTGATCAGTCCAAACAAAATTAATTTAAGAAAATCATCTAAGTCTGATCAGTCCAAACTAAATTAATTTATAAAAAATCATCTAAGTCTGATCAGTCCAAACAAAATTAATTTAATAAAATCATCTAAGTTTGATCAGTCCAAACAAAATTAATTTATAAAAAATCATCTAAGTCTTATCAGTCCAATTTCATTAAATAAAAATGTCCTTATAAATGAAAATGAGACCAAAGAAATTTAATAAACGAGACAACAAAATCCCACAAACAAATAAATAAAATAATCCAAAGAACAAAGTAGCATATTACAGAATATGAAACAGGTAGAATCTTATTATTTTATAAAATTTCCTACCTCGAGCAATAGGTAAGGAGTTGTAATGGGATCTGCCCTCGTCGATCTTCTGCCACGGTCGATACTCCTTGGTGATCAGCCATGACGAGTCTTTTGGCATTTTATCAGAATACTTGGGGTTCATCGATCTTCCCTTGAATAGTGACATGACGTTGCTCGAATCTACAAATTAAACGATAATTTATGTGGCTATGTGAGCTTCCACTGTACTCTGTGCTCTGTGGGTGGAATGTAAATGAATCTCTTTTGTCGATTGAAATAATGAGATACGGGATACTTCATTTATGATCTTTCGTATGTAATGGACTACGGAATTTTTGCGCAAGTTTGGAAATTTGGAGTTGGGAAATTCAAGTTGGGGTGTTGTAAAGTTTCAAGTTGGAGTGTATTTAGGGAAGGTTGGAATTTAAGAGAGTTCGGAGTTTGGGTCTTGAGAAGATTCAATTAGTATATTCGCAAATTTGGAGTTTAATGTCTTAGAATTTAGGGACTTGGAGATTGAAGGAGGAATATTTGCGAAGAGGGAGATCGGAATTTAGTAATTTGAGACTTGGGTATAGGGAGTGTAGGAATTTGGAAAGTGAAGAGTTTAGGAAATTTAGAATTTGCTTAAGTTTATATCTTAGAAAGGGATGTAGAACATTATAGGAGAGGATCTAGGGAATTTGAACAGTGGAGAATTTAGGATCTTGGAATTTGACATTTGGGGAATTTGGAAAGTGGGGAATTTGGAAGGTGGGAAATTTGGAATTTAGGGAATTTGGAATTTGGGGAGTTTGGAATTTGGGGGATGGGAATTTGGGGGATGGGAATTTGGGGAGATGCGAATTTGGGGAGATGAGAATTTGGGGAATTTGGAATTTGGGGAATTTGGAATTTGGGGAATTTGGAATTTGGGGAATTTGGAATTTGGGGAATTTGGAATTTGGGACATTTGGAATTTGGGGAATTTGGAACTTGGAGAATTTGAAATTTGAAGAATTTGGAATTTGGGAAATTTGGGAAATTTGGAACTTGGGAAATTTGGAATCTAGAGAATTTGGAATCTAGAGAATTTGGAATCTGGAGAATTTGGAATCTCAGAAATGTGGATCTAGGGAATTTGGAATCTCGAGAATTTGGAATCTGAGAAATTTCGAATCTAAGAAACTTGGAATCTGAAAAATTTAGAATTTGAGGAATCTGTGAAATTTACAAGTTTAGGACTTCAGAAAAAATTCAAAAACCCCAAAGCTCATAAATAAAAGCTTAAAAATATATAACTCTAGAAATCTATAATTCTACAGTAACTCTAACTCCCCTATTCTCCAAAATTCTAAAATTCGCACCAATAAAAATACTGTCAAGACTTAAAATTAAATTTGCAAAGTTTAAAAGCTAAAAACGTTGGGCGGTACAACACAAAAGGTTGTAACGTGTCAAAAAATGATCAACAACCTTAAATGGGGCCGCAAAAAATGACCGCACAATGTTGGTTACTCAGACCGAGCGAACGGTGCGAAGGCACGGTACAGTTCACTGGATTCAAAACACGAAAGCTTAAAAGCATATCAAGCTTGTTTCGGCTACAACGACTGCGTTTTACCTTGGTAATCCTTTTCCGAGGTGGAATCGGAATCCGAATCGCGGGCGTTGTAAAATTCGCTGTCCGGCTCGATTTCGCGATGACGGTTAAAATTAACGTTCGGCGCGTCGGATCGGCCGACCCTGGGATACGCCATCAAGCCAGATGCTCGTCGATCCTTCAATTTCTCTCCCTCTGGAAAATTATCGGAGGACTCTCGTTTTAATACTGGTTTTTTTTCAAGAAATCGATGGGAGACGCGGAAAAGGATAAGAAAGGATATTTCTTTTTTGCTGTCGTGAATTTCAATGCCTTTGCAGCGGGCTTGCATCTGGCATCCAATAATTAAAGAAGGAAAAAAGAACGGAAAAATGACCAATGCGATATATCGAGATTGTAGTCTCTACCGGTCAAAGGGACACATCTGGCTTCCGATGATTAGCAAAAAATTTGTATTATTTCGTACTTTATTGATCAAAGATAGATTTTTAATTGATTCGTAGATCACTCACATTAAAATTCTAAATTTTTTTTTTAGTTATTTAATATATTTTTTTATGTACATGCAACACTTTGATAATTGCAATATAGTACATATAACAATAAAAATTAATATAGTACATATAATTTAAAAATTAAAAAATTTTTGCTATATGCAGTTAATTGTAACATGCTATTTATGTTTAAATTCACACATCAGTAGGAATGTCTCTTGTAGTATCATAAGTTTGGACAAAATTGTAGAAAATAACTGCACCAGATTTACAAATATGTACCTCAAAAATTAATCAATACCTCACATTCGAAAAAACTTGCACAAATAATAAATAACAATTAGCAGAATCACAATTGAAACACGTCCAGAAAATAAATAATATAAAATAATGGTATTTGTCATATCGAATAACAATAACCGTGTATGCAGAAGAGAATTCGCGGAAAATTTACAGAAACAATGGGTTACTTTTGCAATCATAAATATACGAGCTGACGGTTAACAAGTGAAAAAACCAAGGGAATAAAGTGTAGTAACAAAGAGGCATGATCGATGGTAATCAATGATTCAAAAAAACTGTATCTGTAAAAATAATGGACAGCAATTTCATCGAACAGCACGTGAGAATCGTTCCCCGGAGAAAGTATAACTAAAAGAATCAAAGAAGAAACATTAATCAAACGCACTCCCCATTTACACCTACGGAGTTCGAATGAACTTCGAGCGTGGAATAATTGATTAATAAAGAGGGAACGTATAACCGATTAATTGAACACGGGGAATTGATAGAGAAACAATCTTGCGCGTGGAAGAACATATTAAAAGAAATCTTTGGTATAGGGTTGTCGATGAAGAAGAAATTTGAGGGTGGGATAAGTAATTAATAAGGAAGAAAGTTGATAAGTGACCAGCAAAGAAGGAAACTCGAGATGAACTAACTGATTGCAACAGAAGAAATCTGCAGGACAGAACAAGTAATCATTGAAGAAGAAATTTGAGCATAGGATAAATAATTGATAAAGAAGAAACCTGAGTATAGTTTGACCAACAAAGAAGAAATCTTAACATTAACTGATTGCAACAGAAGAAGGCTGCAGCACAGAACAAGTAATCCATAAAGAAGAAATTCGAGAATAGGATAAGTAATTAATAAGGAAGAAAGTTGATAAGCGACCAGTAAAGAAGGATCTCAAGATAAATTAACTGACTGCAACAGAAGAAATCTGCAGCACAAAACAAGTAATCAATGAAGAAGAAATTTCAGTATAGGATAAATAATTGATAAAGAAGAAACCTGAGTATAGTTTGACCAACAAAGAAGAAATCTCAACATTAACTAATTGCAACAGAAGAAATCTGTAACACAGAGCAAGTAATCAATGAAGAAGAAATTTCAGCATAGAATAACTAATTGATAAAGAAGAAACCTGGGTATAGGTGACCATCAAAGAAGAAAACTGAACATTAACTAATTACAATAGAAGAAATCTGCAATTGAAGAAATCTACATCACTGAACGAGTATTCAATAAAGAAGAAATTCGAGCATAGGATAACTAATAAAGAAGAAAGCTGAGTATAGGTGACTAACAAAGAAGAAATCTCAAAATGAACTAATTGCAACAGAAGAAATCTGCAACAGAAGAAATCTACAGCACAGAACAAATAATCATTGAAGAAGAAATTCGAGCATAGGATATTTGATGAAGAAGAAATTCGAGCATAGGATATTTGATGAAGAAGAAACCTGAGTATAGATAACCAACAAAGAAGAAATCTCAAAATGAACTAATTACAACAGAAGAAAGCACAAAATACATAAAACAAGGTAGACAAAAAAGAGAACACCGTTTACTATGATCTCCAAAGGAAAAAGCACATAAACTATAAGAAGCATCAGGTTGGCGAAGATCAGCGTAACGAACCGGGAAACGATGAAAAATAGTGGAAGCGTGTATATGTGAGAAGAAATCGTTCGAAGAAGAGGACCGATCGATCGATCGGCACACTTACGGTTGAGGGAGATCGAAAATATGAAAACGATGAGTACTACAAATACGTGATTTGTCATCGCCGATGATACTTGCTCTCCGTAAGATCAAAATTCGATGAAGCTACGTAGCAGAGCACAAGAACACTGAATACCATCAGGTAGTCGCCGTCTGATTTTATACCTAGCGCCACGACCGGCTAACGGGGGCTACCACCCCGACCCCACGGACCTTCAACCCTCTCGTTTCACATTCTACCACCCTGTATCGCTTCCGTTTACGAACGATCGTCACCCGTTTATTTCGACGCTCGTTGCTGATTCAACTTAGGGACCTTCTCGTTATTGCCGATAAGGGATGGAACACGGTTATACTTGCGCTAAATTACGGTCGGGGCTGTCAATTTTCAGTTACTTTTAGGGGTTTATGATCAATCTTTAATGAAATTTTTAGGTTATCTAGGTTATTTAGGGGTTTTATTTGTATTTTTTTTTTTTGGTAGTTGGTGTACTTGTGGTGGTAGTTGATTTAGGGTGGTATTCTTTGGGGATCTAGGGACTTTGGAAAATTTTGGGATTTGGGGATTTTGGGATTTTGGGATTTGGGGATTT